CCCATGATCACACAGGCTGTTGTGATTCTTCCATTACTCTGCTTCTTAATGTCTATAAAGATAGCCAAAGATCGAGAACAGTGATACTTGGACAGGGCTTGTTAACAGTTTTTGTGAAGACATTAAAATAATGTATAATTAAATTCAAAGAACTAAGCCTATATAGAATTCACAATTGGTTTATAGATGATTTAGCAGTGTTTTCCTCAAATACTTGGCAGTTAATTATCCTATTCAACTGTGTAATTGCTAATGGCAGGTGCATTATTTTCTATTTTCCTTCAAATCCTGTACATTAAAACCTGGAGCTGTCAAGCTAGAAAGAGGGTCACGGAGACAACCACAGACTCACAATAAGACTGTTCTGGGGAACTAGCGATAATTCATTGTAAGTTTCATATAGGAATATGTGGACTGGCATATAAATACCTTTAAATCACTTTTAAAAAACACAAGGTATGTTTAAGTTGGACATTTCTCATTCTATTTTGTGTGTGATAAGAAAAAACATATTATGTTTCTCCAAATCAGTATAACCCAGAATTGCTTAAAATATGCAAAACATTAACCTCCCGAAATGCTCCTTGGGGACAGGAGAGTTCTAGCAATAAAAAACGGGGAGCATGTGATATACGATATACCACTCTTGAAGATTTATAGTACTTATCAGGAATAAATTTACATCTGCAACAAATATACCTACTATATTTTATCTGACCATTGCTTTGTAAATTTATATAACTACTAAACTCCCTTCTCATAACGTTGGTGTTAGTATCCCATGGAGCAAAAGTTGAGAAGCAGCTGTGATTATGAAATCATTCTGGGAAAGAAAAAGGGGATTGATTGATTATATTAGCTAATATTTGTTGAGGGTTTTCTGTGTTCCAGACACAGTTCTAATCTTTTAAAAGTATTTACTTAAACCAAAACAAACCTTTAAAGTAATACCCAAACCCAACCTACTGCCCTTGAGTTGCTTCGGACTCATATTGACCCTATATAATAGAGTAGAACGACTGCTTTTGCTTTCTAAGGCTGCAAATCCTTATAGGAGCAAAAAGCCTCACTATTCCCTATAAAGGAAGGAGGAGCCCTGGTAGCACTATTGGATAAATGTTGTGCTGCTAATCACAAGGTCAGCGGTTCAAACCCACCAGCTGCTCCTTGGGAGAAATATGAGGCTATCTACTCCCCTAAGGATGGATAGCCTGGGACACCCTACTTAGGGTCTCTGTGAGTCAGAATAGAGTAGATGGCAGGGGTTCTGAGAGTGAGTGACATGAGGAAGCCGCGATTCCTAGAGGTTAATTGTCCCTACCCGCAGGAACGTCAACGCAGACCCTGGAGGAGGGAGTGGGAATTGAGGGGAACAAGAGACACGAGAAATGGAGACAAGACAGTATTCTGATCAAGTCTCTCTTTACTGAGTGAAAGGTTGCAGCCTATATAGGCCAGGGGAAGGGAAACACCCATCGCACATGTAAATTAGGCCACTTTGGTAATAGACCAATCAAGGAGTCCAGGGGAACACGCCCTCAGTAACGGTTTACAGTCTTCAACCAGGTCCGCAAAGTGAAGTCAGCAAATCAGGTGCAGGCACTAGATAAGTAAATAGGGTGAAGACAATCTCCTACCCAATCAAGGGGAATCAGGATATAGGTGCTTTGTCACACCATGTATGGAAACCCCCTTATCTGTTTCTAGGCAGACTTGAAGGCTAAACTCAGCCCATCCCAAGGACAGGCTATTCAGAGGGGAGACAACATAATCACAAAACTATGTCACGTAGGTGGGAATGGAAAAGTACTGCAAGCTCTGACAAAATATAGTGAAGATTGAGCCGAATGGCCCCGGACAGTTAATAGCTTATTCAGGTTCAAATGGAAAATGGAGTAATCATTGGCCTCCAGACATTGTGTTTGCAAAATCCATATACAATCTCTAGTCTCTGTGACCTTGATGACCAGGTCACAATGCAAATTATGTTGTTTATGAATGCTCCGCTGATAAAAATGAGCTGTTGTTATGGTTTTTTAATTTGGTTTTTGTTATATAGATATTGCTGGAATTTCTCTGCCTCAGAACCTGAGTGGATACTCTTTGTTGCCATTATCATCAGAAACATTTCATAATGAAACCAAATTCAAACACGAGCATCCGCCCTGGATCCTGAGTGAATTCCATGGATGTAATGTGAACGCTTCCACCTACATGCTTCGAACCAACCAGTGGAAGTACATAGCCTACTCTGACGGTGTTTCAGTGCTACCTCAACTCTTTGGTAAATTTGTTGATAGATTTTTATTTTTTCAAGTGTAAAATTACATGCAGTGAGCTAACCTACACCACCTTTCTTACGAGACCTAGTAGTCATTAAATAAATGAATATCTGATACTTCTCAAGCTGAGACACTCTACATAAGGTTGCCTGTGTGAGAGGTAGCTTGTTTACAAAAAGCTTCCAAGTTTCAGAGCAAATGTCCTTAAGACTTTTGATTTGGGGCTTGTGATGGAAATCACTTCTCCTCTAAGGAAAACTCACTGCCGGTGAGTGGATTCCAACCCAGCAGTCCTATAGGACAGGACAGAATGGACCGTGTGGGTTTCCGAGATTATTTATCTTTATGTTGAGCAGAAAGCCGAGTCTGCTGATGGTTTCAAACTGCTGACCTTGAGGTTAGCAATCCAAATCATAACCCACTGCACCACATCTTTTCCAGTTAGCAGTCAAGGTCCTATCATTATTTCTTGCTGTCAGTGGCTCCACAGGATTAACTCCTGTTTTATGAAGCCTGCCTTTCTACATTATGTCCTTGTCTCCACAAGCCTGTCAGATATGCTTTAGGAAGTCAGAGCGATCCGAACACCTAAGACATGGTCTGACTCCAAACCCCATGCCCGTTCTACACTATAAAAAATACCTGGACAGTTTCACCATACCATGGATTTAATTTTTAAACAGTATTATTGGATTTCAAGTTTTACTTAACATATACCCACTGTTTTGTACTATTGCAAAATTCTTTATTTACATTCATTTCTTTCTCCTTTCCTTCCCAGTTACAAATATCAAAATTATTAACTCAAAATAATCTTGTAGGTGCCAAATTGACATATCTTCAGCTCTGAGAGCAGGACGCTTTAGCTCCAAAATGATTCAAACTCACTACCATCAAGTCAATTCTGACTCCTGTCAATCCATAGAGCTGGTTTGAACCACAAGACTTAAGGTTTGCAGCCCGATGCACAACCCACTGCACCACCCATTCTCCCTTAGCTTCTAAAGCAGCGGTTCTCAACCTGTGGGTCACGACCCCTTTGGGGTCGAACAACCCTTTCACAGGGGTTGCCCAATTCATATCAGTAGCAAAATTACAGTTATGAAGTAGCAATGAAAATAATTTTATGGTTGGGGGGTCATCACCACAAGATGAGGAACTGTATTAAAGGGTCACAGCATTAGGAAGGTTGAAAACCACTGATCTAAAGGAAACCCTTAACTCTTAATCCTAATGAGTAAAGAGGATTTTTTTTCTCTTGCTCATTCATTATCCTGTTCTAAAAATAAGACAAAGGATCCGTGCAGGAGCTAACCTTTTCTTCAGTCTTTAAGTTTGACTTCCTTTTCTTAAAGAGCAAAACCATGTATGTCTTCAGTAGCTGCATGGGCAATGTACTCAGGCCCATTGGAGAGTTGTCTTCAACATATATTGTCATTTCTTAAATCAGAAGATCTTTCATTTGCGTTTTGCCAATAAGATTGGCATCCTAATTATAACCTTTCTCCCCACACTATGTGTAAAAGAGTGTGTCTGAGTCTGAAGTATTTTATTACTTCCCTGCTGGTGATGATGGAGAGAAGTTTCCCTCCAACTCCCACCCCACTCTACGCCTATTTATTCAAGTGGACAATACTGAAAATAGAATAATTCAAAAACAAATGCTGAGGTATAAATAAAGCTAGGATTAAGTGAAGTTGCAAGAACATACCCTAGCTATATCAAAAATTCATTTTAAGAGCTTTTTTCTGATTATTTTTTAATCATTTTATTGGGGGCTCTTACAGCTCTTATAATAATCCATACATCCATTGTGTCAAGCACATTTGTACATATGTTGCCATTAACCTTTTCAAAACATTTTCATTCTACTTGAGCCATTTTTTTCCTCTCTCATGAACCTTTGATAATTTATATTATTATTTTCATATCTTACACTGTCCACAGTCTCCCTTCACTCATGTTTCTGTTGTTCATCACCCTGGGGGCGGGGGGGATGTTATACATCGATCATTGCAATCAGTTCCCCCTTTCTCACCCCACATTCCCGATACCCTCATGGTATGGCTACTTCCATTAGTGTTCCTGAGGGATTTATCTGTCCTGGATTTCCTGTGTTGAGAGCTCTTATCTATACTGGTGTACATGCTCTGGTTCTAGCCGGGTTTGTAAGGTAGAACTGGGGTCATGATAGCAGGGGGGAGGGGGGGACATTAAAGAACTAGAGGAATGGTGTGTGCTTCACTGGTGCTATACTGCACCCTGGCTGGCTCGACCCTTCCTTGTGACCCTTCTGTGAGGGGATGTCCAGTTGTCTACAGATGAGCTTTGGGTCTCCACTCCGCCGCCCCTCATTCACCTCGATATGATTGTTTTGCATCTTCTGATGCCTGATAGCTGATCCTGTCAACACCTCATGATCACACAGACTGGTGTGCTTCTTCCATGTGGGCTTTGCTGCTTCTCAGCTAGATGGCTGCTTGTTTACCTTCAAGCCTTTAAGACCCCAGATGCTATATCTTTTAATACCCAGGCACCGTCAACTTTCTTCACCACATTTGCTTTTGTACCCATTTTGTCTTCTCCAGTGATCGTGTCAGAAAGGTGAGCATCACAGAATGCCAGGTTATTAGAACAAAGTGTTCTTGCACTGAGAGAGTACTTCAGTAGAGGCCCAATGTCTGTCTGTTATTTTAATACTTAACATATAAATGTATGTACATAAATCTATGTCCCTATCATTATATATAAATATATTTACATATTTATGTGCCTGTATTTATAGCTCTATATATGTCCGTTGTCATTTTAGGGTTTTGTTGACATATAATTCACATATACAATTCATACTAAAAAGTTTTGCAGTCATCACCTCAATCAATTTGAGAAATTTTCTCCATTCTTGTACCCGTTGTTATTATCTTGCCCCCAACCTTTCCTGCCATAATCCTAAGAAACTATTAATCTAGCTAGTCTCTATAGACCTGCCTATCCTAAATTTCATACAAAGAAAATCATACCAAAATGAAAACAGAATAAAACATGGAAAAAATTCCATCCATCCAAAAGAAAGGAGAAAGTAATAAAAACTAGAACAAATTAAAAATGAGTCAAAAGGGGAAACAAAATGATAAGACATTAAATTTTAACTATATCTGCAGTAGCTGCTCTAGGTTTCCAACCACAGTAGCTCAAAGCCACCAGCCGCTCTGGGGGAGAAAGCTGGAAAGATGAGGCCGCCTACTCCCACAAAGACCCCCGACTAGAGGACCCAAAGGGGACAGCTGGACTCCACCCTAGGGGGTTGCTGTGCGTCAGGCCCCACTCAGTGGCAGCGCGTGAGTTTGGTAACTGCAGTGATCCACTCTCCAGTGCACGCTCTCAGGGCAAGGCTAGTCACGTCCCTCGAAAATGGCCCGAGGCAATTCAGTGAAGGCTTCTTCTGCTTGGGGACTGTGCAAACGCATCGGGGGCTTTCACTGCCGTCCATAGCTACCAAGAAGTTTTAAATCCAGAAAGTTTGGGCAGCTGGATTGGATGGTATAAACACGACTCTATTTTTTTCTCTGCAAGTCAAAGAAAGTAAAACAGAAAGAAGTGGGTCTACGTTTGCCACTCAGAAGGGTTTGACTAGTCCTACAATTTAAAAATGAGTAAGAAAACTAGCAAACCAGCAAAATAATTATAGCAAGATGATGGTAGGAAGGAAACTAGAGGGTCACGCTTAGCCTGAAGTCTATTATTTTTGCCATTTCCATTGTCCTTTGTTCACTGCAATAAAAGAAACTAGAAATAAGCCTGCCATAGCATGTTTTTAAAGAAACGTTTACAAAAATATGTTTTTTAGCTGACAACTGTCTTGACAGATTTTTCTTTTCTTTCAGACCTTTCCTTGGATCCAGATGAGCTGACAAATGTTGCTACAAAATTTCCAGATATTACCTATTCTTTGGATCAGAAACTCCGTTCCATTATAAACTACCCTAAAGTTTCTGCTTCTGTTCGCCAGTACAACAAAGAGCAGTTCGTCAGCTGGAAGCAACGTCTAGGGCAAAACTATTCCAAAGCGATAGCCAATCTCAGGTGGCATCAGGACTGGCTGAAAGAACCAAGAAAATACGAAAGTGCCATCAATCAGTGGCTTAAAAACCCACATTAACCCAAGAGTTTGATCACAAATAAAAAGGAGACATTCCAGTTACTTATTAATGTGTGACAAGATCATAATCATTGATATATTGTAAATATTATAAAAGCCATGACTAAGTTTTTATTTTAAGGAATTTAGTATATTTTTTAAATAAAATGCTAATGGTTAAAGAATTTTCTGATTTCATAATTAACTATGATTAAAACCATACTCTAATTACCAATACCTAACAACTTAATGGAAATATCAAAGGCTGGGAAGCAAAGAATGTAACATAAAGCTTCATTCCTCTGGATAATATAGAATATTTTAATATTTATGGAATATTATACATGAATCCATAAAATAGTTCCTTGTATTTAATGGGACATCAACTATTTGTCCAACCCTGCCTGTGACTGACATTGTTACTATATTTTAAAATAAGCAATATTTTCCCAAGGTGCGTGCTCCAAAAGGTATAAAAAGGTTAACCTAAATATGAAGTTCCCCTCCGTTCCT